AACCTGTAGAACTAGTGGTGAACTACATATTTAGAAAAACAGCAAAATGTGAAAGATCTATTCGATTGCTGCCTTCCTACGGTTACCTGCTTGTCTTCGTGATGAATTTCAGCAATGCATAACAGTTTATGGAGTTCGGAGCAAAACGAATCTAAATGAAGTTTCCGCAGGATGATATACTTGGTTGCAGGGTAGTGCGTTCTTCAAATAAAGTTTTTAAAGGCATCTTGGGACATATTTGGATTGAAGTTTACAAACACTAATTTATAATCACAACAATATTTACAGGTGCTCCTCACCTGTTGGTGATCAAACTCGCAGTAGCTCTTCTCCCATTTTTTGCGCGGGGCGCTCCGTTCTGGTTCAAGGGTTAGGACATCTTCCAGTGCATACGAAATGTTTTTTGGTATTGGAGCAATATTGCGAGAATATCACAAAAAGTTTTCACGAGATATGCGAGTGTAACAAACATTTGTTGACAATTGAGTCTTACAGCATGACAGTCTTTCTAGACAGATTTTCCAAGTTTTTGCCTGCCTATTAATCACGTGTTTTGCCTATTCTACTACGACTGTTTCCAAGATTTCATTTTCATCACGTGGCATCTACGCGGATGATGCTTATTGCATCCTATTGTAAATGACGTATTTCTTTAAAATGCCGTACTTCGCAACGCTAAAATCCTTCTCATTTGTTGCACTGAGACAGGTCACGTCTTTTTTTAATTTTTTGTGAGTTTCGCTAATGAAGCTCCCTGCAAAAGCGGTTTTAGTTTATCCAGCATATTATTCGGGCGTTGTCTTTCTGTGACATGACACGTTTCTTGTACAGGATCAAGCGTGTTTTAGGTCTGCAAACCATGGTTACTCCCTATGTCATCATGAAGTAATTCTATAGTAACCAATGCCTTCTAAGACATGTTTACGCGTCAATGTCGCATGACCGCTTGTTTTGACGAAGAAGTTCGAAATTTTCGCATTTTAATTGGAGTCGTATTATTCTCGCTTGTGTAAAGCGTGACGTTTTGCTCGTTAAAGACAAACAAGTGGCCGTGGTTGCTGTACCACGCTTGGCTAAAGCTAGATTGCGTTTCGCCTTAATTAATTCCTGGCAGCACGTTCTTCACGGCTCAGATCGGAAAATGAGAATTCATTTGTGACTCTGACGTAATCCCAATCATTTATGTTTTTTATAGTGTTGATTATGGTCATTAAATCTAATGAAGCGTGATCAGCAGAGAAACCCATATTGGCAACATTCATAATGTTGGAAAGGGTGCTTAGATATAAGCGTCCAATTTTTAGCTGAGGAATCTTTTCGTTGCATGCACGATGCCTGTTTCTATGTTTTTTAGCTTACACAGTGTCTTCCAATGCAGACGGTTCCGTGATTCCAATTTTCCTGAGCATTCTAAGCCTTTCTACCAGAGCAACGAAAAGTGTTCGTGTACTTTTTCAGATTGTTTAGTCAGCGGAAATTGTCTTTAGCGTAGTTGCGAGCTGTCGAGCTGACTCCTCCGCCGACTATGCGCATTGATATCGACTTTCGTGCATCGCGTCTTACAGTTACGTACGGTGCATTAGTTTTTATAAACACTATTGTGATTTGCAGGTTCGTTCCGTACAGAAATCGACCATCTCCAGTCATTGTTCCTGTAGGCGCTCGGCGATGGCGCGTGATTTCGATGTGAAGTGATGAACTGTGGTTTGGTGAGCTTCGTTAGGGCCGTATTCGCAACTCGATCGGATTTATTGACCGGGTGAGTGACCACCGCTATGGACAAGAAGGGACAGTCGAAAAAGGAGAAGACCGCCGTACACGTGTTCGAAGGTCAAGTGAAAGGTAGGAGAGAAAATCGTTAAATTGGTCATTCTGTGATCGATTGATTTGTCGATCTGCAACGAAGGGGTCAATCGATTTCTTCAGTGGTGTGTTTGTGTGTGTATTCGGTGAGCTGCTGTCATAGTAATCGTTGAACGTTTCGTGTGCCGCGTTGTCTTGTCCGCGATCTTGTCTTGTCGTTGTATTGTCCCCGCAAATATTCGACTGATCGTAGCAGCATTATCGCATTGTACACGGTATATCGAAATTTCTACAACTGCCGTAAGAAGCAGCTGTGATCTGATTTGCATCGATCATCATCGACACTCGTATGTCTGTTCGGCCATCGGTTAGTCCGTCTTCTGTCACGCAGTATTTGTCGTTGTCGTGCAAGGAAAGAAGGAAGAGCGTTGGTCGTTTCTTGTCTTGACAGATTTCTCCTCCAAGGTTGAGAAGAGTATAGACTTAGTGGCCGGCCGAACGGGACACAACAAGAAAGTACAACGGTGGCAACAACAGCAACGGACGATGGACGGACGGACGGACGGACGAACGAAAGGACGAATCGCACAACGGATTTGTCGCCGCCGTCCCGCTTGCCCTGTTCGTCGTCGTCGCTTCGATGACGAGTGACGTTTTTTCCTCATCGGGATTGATTCATTTGCTCGATACAAGTTTTTGTCCCCCGACCGCCCCGACGATGATGACAGTTGTCGCGTTGCACCAGTAGCAGCACACTAGAAGCAACACAAGTCTAACCGACTGACGAGAGTGCAACCGGCCTCCAACAGCCTCCACCGCCACCGTCTTCGTTTTCGTCGCCGTCTTCGTCACCGTCACTGCCGTAGCCGAAAGAAGTCAAGTCACACACACTCGACCCAACCAAACCAAACCATACCAAACCTAACCTAACCAAACCTAACCAACGGTTTGAAGCCAGCCAGCCAGCCAGCCAGCCCGTCCGCCTGCCTGTCAGCCAGCCAGCTGTCATCGTCATCGGTGGTTTCGATCTATACGCCTAGCTTCGCCTCGCCTCGCCTCGTTTTGCCTCGACTTGACTCGCCTCGCCTCGCCTCGCCTCGCCTCGCCTCGCATCGCTTTTCCTCGTCGTGCCTCAACTCGTCATCAATTCACTCATATCAACTTGACCACATGTCGCTTTGCGGCTTCGGAGCGCCGTTCTTCAACATCGACAGCGACTTGCAGTTTCTCCAAGGTAAATCAAACAACCTGAACAAACTGTCTCCCGTTCCTGTGTTCTTTTTCATCGTCGTTTTGTGAAGCCCGATGATTTGAGAGAGAGAGAGAGAGAGAGACTGGGGGGGGCAACAAATCGCCAGAAATCTGTGAACTTCTCGTTGAGCCGAAAATTGAGTATTTGTTGATATGTGCTTGGTGATCATACTGAAAATAGCACAAAACACGGTTTATTTCTAAGCAGTGCACGTGAACAATGTAATATCAGTCGGGTGATTTGCCATTACCTACGTTCTTCGATTTAGAAGGTCGTTTCCAAGCTTTAAAATAGCTGCGAATCTTAACCAAATCACAGAAACAATCGCATTTTTTAAATCAACAAACCTCTTTACCATGAAGAAGTTCATTAAAACACGGTCCAGCGTTTTAAGTCTTTGTTGTGATTATTTGAGTTTTCAACCACTTTCAACTCCTACCTTCAAAGATTTTATTCAGTTCCACAGTTCTATGGTACTTTACGGTTGCTTTATGCAAA